CGAAGCTTTCTGATGAGACCTCGTGCCTTGGCCCATCTCTGTCTCCGTGCCACTGACTTAGAAGCTTTCGCCTTCCCCGCCGAGAAGTCGATCCCCAAGTTGACAGCAGAGTGAGCTCCTGTCCCAAACAAGTCCGCCAGCAAACTTTTCCGAGCCACATCCAGCAACTTAGCCGACGAGGCAGTGGAACACACCTTCTGGAGGGCAAGGGAGAGGTTGAGCTTCTCCAGACCCTGGTACATGCGAGCGGCGAGCTCGACCATGTTGGTGACACAATCCTCTATGAGGTGCTCCACGAGAAAAGCCCCATGTCGTCTACGTGGACCGTCGTGCCGACAGACTCCTGAGCCTGCCAAGCGCCTAGAACCCCAGGATCCTGGACTAAAGGAATGAGGTAGGCGTTCGCCTCAAACGTAGCTGTGGCAGAGCCCGCTATGATGCCTTCCTCTGGCCACATCTTGTCACTCAACACTCCCTCCAGGAAAATGCGCCTGGGCCGTCGATAAGATCGAATAGTCTGGGCGTGAATGCACCGTGGGAAACCTGCAGCACCACGCTGCTCTGCTAAACCTTTATGAACAATGTGCTCGTAAAACTGCTTGACATCCCAGAATAGGGCCAAGAAGTGCATGCGAGACGTGGCAGCGTATTCGGCGCGCACAGCCTGCCTCCAGACAGTGTCCTCCACCGACCTCCCTTTGCTCATGCTGAAAGACGGCCCACCACCCATCCAAGCGTCCCAGGTCCGAAGTCGTCGTGCCAAAAACCGAAGGGAAGTTGCCGATAGGTCGACGTCCTGGTCCTCTGGCTTTACGAGCCAAGAGGATGATGACCTCCTGCAGCTGAGAAGGATGCACTCCGAGAGCATCCACGAGAACGAACAGCTTCGCCAAAACCAACCGGGCAGGATGGCATAGCAGAGCATAGTGTCTAGGGTGCACCCTATCTGGTTGGCACGTGTTTTTCTTGAAAAAACCCGAGACTGCTGCGACGACATCTGGATCTTCGGCCTCGGGGATTTCCATCGACGGGAGGTCCACGATCCAGGGCGGCGCATCCAATTGGGTAGGGCTGGCTTTCCACGTATGCAGCCAATGCTTATATTGGTCATCAAGGTGACCTGAAAATAAGGAAGTGTAGCCCTCAGGACCTTCTGTCGCCTCAACCTCCAAATGTGGCTTCTCACGGAGATACCTGAAAATGCCTTTGCCGGAGGCTGTAGAAAGAGCCTGGTCGCACCATGCCCTCCATGACTGCCGCTGGAGGGTCTCGGGTTTAGGAAGGGCCGTCGAAGCAAAAAGCTGGGCGAAGTCTATGAACTCTTGCGACTGCTTTATCCGAAGGTCCCAGGCGCTCCTATCTAGATGAGCTCGACATCTTGTTGCTATCGTTGCAGTTCGGGCGTGCCAGAAACCCATGTGTAGTGGCCAGAAAACCTTAAAGGGGCCGCCATGACGTTCGAGGCGCACCAGAACCCGAAGAAGCCTAGCCAACGCCGTCCGAGAAGTCATGGACGTTCTCGGCGCACGGGAGGCCCTTGACGGTCGGGGCGCGCTGGGTCCTGCAGACAGCTTTCCTGCAAGGCCCTGAACTTCATGGAACCTCGAAACTAACCAATCCAAGGCCCTGTGGGGGTCGCGTTTCGTGTTGGAGCGGGTCCGGAGGAGGGATCCCTGAGCCTCCTCGAGGGCCCTTGGTGGGGGTGATGGTTTTCTTAAGGATTTCTTCCCACGCTTTACCCATCCAGTCCTGGTAGACCTGGTTGAGCAGAGCCTCTCCTGTCTCTCGTAAAGCACCGCCGCCCGTAACAGAGTACAGCTTACCATCCTCTCCTCTCAGCTGTGCCAGGTACTCGTCCAAGCGAGCTCCCAACTCCACGTAGTCCTGCTCCTGGTCAGGGAACTGGATGGGGCCGATACCAGAGTCTGGAGGAACCGGGGTAGATTTAAGCGGAACCGTAACCTCTATGTCCTGGATGTTCGCCGCCAGGGATAGGGAGACCGGTCGGTGCTGGCCCGTCGGGGCCAGGGAATCCAAGGATAGATCTGCCACTGCATACGAGACTAAAGACGACAACATAAAGTAGTCAATATTACTCGGATCCTTTCCCGAGACATACGTTGGGCCCGTCACACTTCAGAGGACAGCATCCAAGCGGCCAATCGGGGCGGCAGAATCTAGTTCATGTGGGTCCATGTTGTAGTCCCCACCGGCAATGAACGGATAACCATGGTCAAACATATCATTGGCCAGAATATCGAGGATCTGGAGGTTCCGGAAGCCTAGCCCGATCCCGTCTTTGAAGTAGCACGAATACAATGCAAGCACACCATACGATCGGGTCCTCAGGAAACAGCGAGTGACACGACCAGGAACGAGCTCTGCAGACTGACGCGGCTGCAGGAGGAGGTCGAGGTGGCCCCGTCCTGCGATGAGGACGCCCCCTGAGGTGCCACCTGGTGTGGACTCAGCGGGGCTCCCGAAAACTTTCCAGCCCTTTTGGATCAGGCTGAAACGAACGTCACGATACCGTCGAGGAAGCAACCTGCGCTCCTGGATAAACACAATAGTACTTGTAGTGGTAGATAGGTAGCTCTCAGCATTCCTCCAGCATGTGCCATTCAGAGTGGTGATCACTACCTGGGGGTCCTTTGGATGGGATCGGCTCCGATGGTTACCCCACCTCGAGGGGTTCAGCTGCTGTCCCAGAGGCTGCTGCTGCTGATGCTGGAGCCGCTCGGCCTTTGTCCTGTGCCCTACGCCCCCCGCCTTTTGGGACCAGCTTCGGCTTTCGCTTGAGACAATTATTCTGGACCGTCCTGGCCAATTGCTGACGTACTTCGGGCTCCAGACTGTTGATCTGGTCACAGGACTCAAACAGTGACTCCTGATCCATAGGGTCCTCATCCACAGCCGCGAATGGGCTGTTCTGGGGCATTCCTGCGGCATCCACGGGCCTCGAGAAACTGGGTGCCCCGGAAAGGAAAGGGTTGCTCCCGGTGGGGTCGTTTGCTCCACTCGCTGCTGATTCCCCTCCTTCTCCTCCTGGGCCTCCTGCACCTCCGCCACCTGCTGCATCGGCTCCAGGAGGGCGTTGTAGCGAGCCTCGATAGCCTGCTGGGCCTGGGGGTCGGCCACCCCCGCGACTGCAGCCTTGAGGGCATCGAGCTGCTGCTGGACGAACACGCTCTCTCCTCCTGGTGCTCCTCCGCCTCCGCCTCCTCCTCCCATGCCGGCCTTGCCTGCCTGGTACTTGGCCAGGGCCTGGTCATGGGCGCGCTGGGCGGCGGCCTTGCCGAGCTCCTCCTCCTGGAGCTGCCGGGCAAGGTCTTGGCGGCGCACGAGCAGCTCTTCGATCTCCGACTCGACCTGGATGGTGGAATCCTGCACATGCTCCACCTTCCTCCCAGCCCCCTCAAGCTCCTGCTCGGCCCTCCGGAGGGCTGTGGAGGGGTCGCGGGTGTTCTCACGATGCTGCTGCTGGTGCTGCCAGGCCTGCTGCAGCAGGGCCGCAGCGTCTGGGGCCAGGTCTTCCACCTTGCCACTTCCCTGGGACACTCCCTTGAACAATCGATGCAACAGTTCATGACCCGTTTCGGACTTCTTGTTCCATTCTTTCCATCCTCCTCCACCTCCACGGCCCCACCACTGCCCACCCTTCCATTCCCCATGCTTGTTCTCAGACGGGGGAAGGGGCATCTTACAGTGGTAGCACCAGGTGTAGTGAGGAAGGTTCTTGCGGCACTTGCAATTAGGACAAACAATATTATTGGTCTGCCCATAACCTTTCGCGCCTCCATCGGCGCCCATACTCTGACACTCCCAATCTCTATGGCGCGCGCGCGAGAGAGTAAGGTTCAACTAGGGATCGAAGGGCCCCTACCCTGAGTCCAGCCTCCGCTTGAGCCAAAAAGGCTACGGACCTTGAGCCAAAATGGCTACGGAGCTCCTCCTTCTCCTCCTTCTCCTGCTCCCTCTCCTCCTCTTCCGCCTCCTCCTCCTCCTCCTCCTCCCCGTTGCTCTTCCTCCTCTGCCTCCCTCATCTCCCTCATCTCCCATCCTCCTCCCCCTCCCCCTCCTCCTCCTCCTCCTCCTCCTCCGCTCCTCCTCCTCCTCCTCCGCTTCTTCCTCCTCCTCCTCCTCCTCTCCTCCTCCTCCGCTCCTCCTCCTCCTCCTCCTCTTCCTCCTCTCCTCCTCATCCTCCTCATCATCATCATCCACATCATCATCATCATCATCTCATCATCATCATCATCATCATCATCATCATCATCATCATCATCATCAGCATCCTCCTCGCGCCTCCGCCTCCCCTCCATCCTCCTCTCCTGCTCCTGCTCCTGCTCCTCCTCCTCCTCCTCCGCCTCCTCCTCCTTCTCCTCCCTCCCTTCCCTTCCAATGTCCTCTATGTGTACTGTGTTGCATATCTCTCTCTCTCTCTCTCTGTCGCTCCCCCCCCTCTCTCGCACTCTCTCTCTCTCTCTCTCTCTCTCTCGCTATATCTATACATAAAGTGTGTGTACGCCTCGTTTGCTTCTCTCTTCTCTCTCTCTCTTTCTCTCTCTCTCTCTCTCTCTCCCCCCTCCCCTCCCTCCCTCCCTCCCCTCCCTCCCTCCCTCCCTCCCTCCCTCCTTCCCTCCTCCCTCCCTCCCTCCATCCCTCCCCCCCTCCCTTCCTCCGTCCCTCCCTCTCTCGCGCCACCCTCGGCGCCGCAACAGGGGGAGGGCGAGGCCCGCCGCTGGGGCGCAGCGTTCGGTCCGCGGGGGCGCGGCAGCCTCACGCCGCCAGCCCGCGCCTCAGGACGGCGAGCACCCGCCCGCCGCACGGCCGTCGGCCGTCGTGACCGCGCACTCCCCCAGCTGGCTGTGCCACAGGGGCCAGGCGCACTGCTAAAAGTGCCCAGCGGCGGCAGGCAGGCCAGCCCGCCCGCACGCAGCCAGGGCGGCACGCCAGGCGTACCGCAGCGGCCCGCGGCCGCGTGGCGGGAGCCGCCGGCGGCG